GCAGACTTCCACAGACTGACCCTGACCAGCCAATACAAGTAGACTTCCTCAGACTGACCCTGACCAGCCAATACAAGTAGACTTCCTCAGACTGACCCTGACCAGCCAATACAAGTAGACTTCCACAGACTGACCCTGACCAGCCAATACATGTAGACTTCCACAGACTGACCCTGACCAGCCAATACATGTAGACTTCCACAGACTGACCCTGACCAGCCAATACAAGTAGACTTCCACAGACTGACCCTGACCAGCCAATACAAGTAGACTTCCTCAGACTGACCCTGACCAGCCAATACATGTAGACTTCCACAGACTGACCCTGACCAGCCAATACAAGTAGACTTCCACAGACTGACCCTGACCAGCCAATACATGTAGACTTCCACAGACTGACACTGACCAGCCAATACAAGTAGACTTCCACAGACTGACCCTGACCAGCCAATACAAGTAGACTTCCTCAGACTTACCCTGACCAGCCAATACAAGTAGACTTCCACAGACTGACCCTGACCAGCAGTAGACTTCCTCAGACTGACCCTGACCAACCAATACAAGTAGACTTCCACAGACTGACACTGACCAGCCAATACAAGTAGACTTCCACAGACTGACCCTGACCAGCCAATACAAGTAGACTTCCTCAGACTGACCCTGACCAACCAATACAAGTAGACTTCCTCAGACTGACCCTGACCAACCAATACAAGTAGACTTCCACAGACTGACACTGACCAGCCAATACAAGTAGACTTCCACAGACTGACCCTGACCAGCCAATACAAGTAGACTTCCTCAGACTTACCCTGACCAGCCAATACAAGTAGACTTCCACAGACTGACCCTGACCAACCAATACAAGTAGACTTCCTCAGACTGACCCTGACCAACCAATACAAGTAGACTTCCACAGACTGACACTGACCAGCCAATACAAGTAGACTTCCACAGACTGACACTGACCAGCCAATACAAGTAGACTTCTTCAGACTTACCCTGACCAGCCAATACAAGTAGACTTCCACAGACTGACCCTGACCAGCCAATACAAGTAGACTTCCTCAGACTGACCCTGACCAGCCAATACAAGTAGACTTCCTCAGACTGACCCTGACCAGCCAATACAAGTAGACTTCCTCAGACTGACCCTGACCAGCCAATACAAGCAGACTTCCTCAGACTGACCCTGACCAGCCAATACATGTAGACTTCCACAGACTGACCCTGACCAGCCAATACAATTCCGTTATAAGTATCAATAATTAAAACCACCATCACTGTGTCATTGGTCATTAAAAACTCCCGTGTCGTGTTAATGATCACTGGAAACTCCAGTATGTTATCAGTATCAATTAAAACCTCCATTATTGTGTCATTGGTCATTAAAAACTCCCGTGTCGTGTTAATGATCACTGGAAACTCCAGTATGTTATCAGTATCAATTAAAACCTCCATTATTGTGTCATTTGTCATTTGTCATTTAAAATTCCCGTGTCGTGTCAATGATCTTTTTAAACTTCAGTACGTTATGAATATAAATTAAAACCTCCATTATTGTGTGACTGGTAATTAAAATCCCCCGTCTTGTGTTAATGATCATTTTAAACTCCAGTACGTTATCAGTATCAATTAAAACCTCCAGTTTTCTATCATTGGTCATCAAATACTCTATAGTTACATTATTTCTTCATTATTATTTATTAGCAAGTCAAACGTCGTATGGAAGACCGTTAAAAAACTCTATTACAATATAGGTGTCGATTAAAACCACCATTATTGTATCAGTACTGTTGAAAAATCCGATCAACAGTTATCCAGAACGGGCAGGTGCATTATATACATAGTATTACTGGTCAGTTTGGCCACCTTTGTAATGTTTGTACTGTTGATAGATTAGGTAATTATATATTCATTGTCATTGTTATATTGGTGTTTGTATCAATGGTAGGTAAAACCTAATTAGTTTACACTATTGGTCAATTAAATGACAAGCGTGGTACTAATTGTCGGTAAAATCCGTTATTTTTGCATTCATTTGTGTGAAAACTGCGCGTGTTGTATTTGCTGGTTAGTTTATGTGTCAGTTTGAATAGAACTAACACTATAGTTATCTGAAGCCAAGACTAATTAAGTAAAATGTATTGTCGGGGAAGCGCTAGTTTTCATATTATTTCGTTAAAATAATTTTCTTCGCAAACCTAAATATTAATTTTCTATCTTTATTGAATAATAATTGAATAGCGGTATGTTGTACTGGCTTTGATATTTGGGGTCGCCCCTTTGTAATCTTCAAAAGGAGCTTTTCAGCCTGTAATTGGTAAAAAAAAATATCTTGAAACCAAACAAATTATCTCTCGCTTGTGCCTTCAATTTTTCCATGACACGTTCCATGAGTGCAGAGAGCGAAAGTGATCGTAACCCCTGGAATGGAGGATGATTGAAAGTTTGAACCTCCAATAACCGACTGGGTCAGTACAGTTCAAGTCACAGTGACACATGAGAAATGATCCGAATATAACTGATTTAATGTTAATCATATGTCAAAACAACAGACAGGTTTATCATATCACTGGTGTCCTCACAGGTGTCAGCTATCCTGTGTTGTTCAGTAGACGTCAGATCAATTAGGTATGTTTAGATCAGTACAGATCCCCTTATCCCATACGACTCCTCTACTCCTACATCTTTCCTTCTCATTTTATTGATTTTTTTTTTAAATTATGACTTTGAATAATTGGAGACAATTTTCTACTACCCTTCTCGAACGTTATTATATGATCGTTTTTTTTTTTTTTTTTTACAACAACAACGACAACTTTTTTTTAAATGTCTGCGACATTTTTTATGCGTTTCGTACAAATTATTTCACGGTAACAAACAGGAATTCTGACTCAACATCTAGGTACTTTATATTCGGCATCCACATAACTCCAGGAGAAAACGGAAGCAGAAATATCTACATAACTCCAGGAGAAAACGGAAGTAGGAATATCTACATAACTCCAGGAGAAAACGGAAGCAGAAATATCCACATAACTCAAGGAGAAAACGGAAGTGGGAATATCTACATAACTCCAGGAGAAAACGGAAGCAGAAATATCCACAAACCTCCAGGAGAAAACGGAAGTAGGTATATTCGGAGCTAATCATCATCCCACACCAACAGAATTCTGAAAAAAAAACCAAACAAACAAACAAACAAACGAAAGGGAAACATCCTGTCCTCATAAAATTTCCAGGTAACAGAATACGGACTTAAACAGTCCACAATCAAATAACAAACTTCAGTTGGAATCCGCTCGAATTACTAGATGTTAACCAGCGTTTAGCAGCAGAAATCTCCTTATACCGAAAGTGGTCTGAACGAGGGAAAATACAGTTCTTCTACAAAATAAGTAATAAACTCACACCTAATTATCTATCTTCTTTTTTGCCTCCTTTAGTGTAAAAAAAACTCACAATATAACCAGTGGCGTAGCAATAATATACGCTGCTAAGCTTAAGCATACACTCGAATTCCAGTGAGATTTTTTTTCTTACGTTTGTTTTTACTGCACTTCGCTCCTGGACCCTCTCTTGAAAGTTTACACTTCTAAAACATTTGCTATGCCACTGTCCGCGAAATTAGATAGAGTGTTTTTTATTCAGTTTTAAAAATTCTATCCGAACCCCGCAAAACTGATATATTGCATGCTCGACTAAGAACTATTTCTAGTAATTTAAATAATGACTTTTTTTCAAATTCAATTTGAAATATTACCGTCACTACCCCCCCCCCCCCTCTCTCTCTCTCTCTCTCTCTCTCTCTCTCTCTCTCTCTCTCTCTCTCTCTCTCTCTCTCTCTCTCTCATTATTATTATTATTTTCATTGGGGTGGGGTTAAAGGGCCCATTACCCACGATTGGTTACACTTCTGTGGCTTTCTGTGACTTTTCTTCGCATATAGAAATACAAAACAAATAAAATCCAAGGAAAATGGTAGTATCGGAGTCGGCAACTATACAGAAAAAAGGACGGATGGAACGGGAGACTTCCCAGTTTAAAAAATTGTGTGCTCCCTCCTTCCCGAAATTCTGGATTTGCGCCTCGATGAGGTTCGATGTGTTTGAACATTCTGAAAACGTTATTAAATATGGATAAAGCTGGGTTCGAACAAACACTAGACAAAAAAATATTATTTATATCGCAAAAATCATATGTTCAAACTAACCGTCCATTCAAATTTGGCCAAGGTTTACCACATATGTCAAGCCCTTTGTTGTAGATGTGAATGTGAAAAGTCTTAACATTTGTATTGTGTCGAAGTTAACCTAAAACTTTCAAAGATGATAACTCAGTCTCATGTCTGAATTTCAGACATCGGGTAAATGACCAGTGTCCGGAATCGTACCAGCACTGACGCACTTATTGTACGAGATGGTAAGGAATCGACCACCTTTATTTCCGAAGTACTATAATCCTCTGTACACTAAGGTGACGAAACGGTAAGCAGATATCGTACTGCATATGGCTTTAATCTTTTTTTTAAAAAAATGTGGAAATATCGCACATTCACCATGTAGATTTAACAAAAGATAACAATTTATTCCATACATGATAAAATGTCGTTAAATAACATCAAATCAAATTATTACAAGTTGTATTTTTTCAATTTTATTTCATATGCTGTAAGTACCAATTAATGAGTGAACGTAATTGTTTAAACCTATTGACTATATATACATATATAAGTGTTATCTAAATTTGAAAATCAAGTTATTGGATGAAACGTTATCAACAGTTAATCATTTATATATATCAGTGACTGAATGGTCGGCTGAAGTTTTTTTCAAATAATAATATATTCTTGAATGATCAGAAACTAATTAATAACTATAAAGTAAATCATATATGTTCCGTATTTGTATTTCCCCGTCCGTGTCGCTGTTTTTGATTAGAAGACGTTGAGCTATATCCGGGGCTGAGTTCCGTTCCTGATATATAACACTGATGTAACTGTCTAACAGCTGGCAGTGTAATCTCTCTATGTGGAAATGGTAAGATTATAGCCGAAAGTAAATTTGTCCTTGCTTCAATGTAAAAACCTGTGTGATAATTGATATACTGCATCAATATTCAAAACCAGTAAAACTCGTTTGCATTCGAGTGTAAGTTCGCGGTGACAATCACTGCTTTGAGTAATGAATCAGTTAATCGAGTATGAGGTATTTTAAACAGAGACCCATTGAATTAAATGAAAAAGATATCATTATTTCTGTTTCAAGTTTTAAGTAAAACCGTGAAAATTTCTACAATAACAACCACGAGGAAAAAATCGGTTACCTGTCTCTGCCTGAAAAGGTAGGGACGTTAGGTAGGTGCGTTTTGTGTTTGGTTTTCTTTTTGCAATGAGGTTCGCTTCAGTTTGCCATTTATTTCTGAAATACTACATATTTATTAAGGAATGGTTTCTAACAGGACACTCTTATTTAAGGGAAATTTTCGCTAGCCATGGCTAGTAAGGCAACATGTACTCATAAGTTATAAGTCCTATCAAGTGACGAGTCTCAATGAAATTTCATTGAACAGTGTAGGAGGAGTTGCATTTATAAGGTTCTAGACAGATGGACAGACAGACAAGGATATTTCTATATACACCCACTTCTTTGCATATAAAAAGATAACACATAGAACATTGGTAATATCTGTCAAAGCAATGCAGAGTTATCACGTTCAGAAGAGATCTGGAACATCTTATCACACCTTTGCTTATAGTGAAAGTTCATGATGTTTTTAGCATATGTGTGCACTTAATAAATAACATCAGCAAAACCATGATAGGGATCAGCAGGAGACCAAAAATCAGCAAAATCAACACAGACATTTTAGAGTGTGTTTTATGCTGAAATGTTAATAAAAAAAAAAAAGAATCAGGGTTCATGGCAAAAGTATAGGGATGGTGAGGAAACACACATTTTTTAAAAAATTTATAAGGAAATAGGGATGGTCAAAAAACGCCTGATCATTTTTATTTTTCATTCAATATTCTATACTATCATACATCCATCTCTTATTTTTTTTATTTTTAGGTTTGTCCTTCCTGTGCCTCTGTCTGCTGAGTGGTCATTGGCTGAAAATCAAGAATAATGCATCTGGGTGTATATTGTCCAATATTTGTGAAAATTTCCATCTTGTTTTAACTACTGCAAAAGACATTGACAACATACTTATTAATAAGAAGATGTCATTTCTACGATTCAGCAGTGTTACTGGATCTGAGCTGCTATATTTTTGCCATTTTTGATGATTGATTAAGGGGTTCTTGATATAACTTCAAGTTAAAAAAATGTCATAAAATTTTCATAACTTCAGCATCCTACCCATTACAATGATGTTTGTGCAATGGCCTCTTGTGGGTAGAGTAGAGTTTTACTATGGATCCATGGCATTCTTCCAAACCATTCTTAACAATATATTTCTCCTCTACCATGTTGATTTGTTTGTTTCTGTTTATAAAATTGACAAGATGTCATTCTGGATTGGAGAAACAATTTTTCTAATATGGAATTCCTTCAATGATCCACTTTTTGGATGGCTGAGTGATAAGCAATATCTGTCAACAAAAAAACATTCTGAAAGTGCTAGCAGTGCCTTAGAAATTGTAACGAACCGCCTGAATGCACTTATGTATAATGGGCCTTTATTGGCATTATCTTTTGTTTTATTTTGGTTTCCATGGGGATTTCCTGGTCTCCAGTTTGTAGTCTGCCTCTGTCTGTATGATGGGTTCCTTACTCTTGTGGATTTACATCATTCATCATTGTTAGCTGATTTGGCTGTATCAGCTAGGGAACGTACACAGCTAAACACAATGAGTTCTCTTTTCAGTGCATTAGGATCAGCCTCTGTTTTTTTTTCTTACTCAGTTTGGAGTAAAGAAAATCTTCATTCATTTAGAATATTTTGTTCTTGTTTGGCTATTTTTTCATTCATTGGATTTGTTGTGGCTATAAATTTGATGAAACAAGAAAGAACTAAAACATTGAAGAAATCTTTCTCCTATGATGACTCTTGGAGTAACAGGTATGCAATAAGAAAATAAGTTTATATTAACATTGATATTGGTTGCTATGGAAATTTCCATTTCTATTTTATAGCTATATAATTAGTCAAATTTGTTATTCACATGAAAAAGCAAAAACTTGTAATTTTGAAGTTGTGTTATGGGTAGCTATTTAATCTCAACAAGTATTAAATTTCTTTATAGATAACACCAGATTAGAAAGTTTATACATTGCCGAAACATTAAGGTTATTTTCTGTCAAAAAGCTCTCATCTAGGATCTGTTTGATTAGATCCTATTAACAAATGATGATGTACCACATTTACTTGTTAAATCCAGATTTTCCAATGTTTTTTTTCAGATTTGACAAGTATGATGACTCCAGTCCAACTGAAAAACCTGTAATCACTACTTTTCTGTCACAACTTTGGAACCAACAAAATTTTATATGGTTTACGATGATGAATCTTATTCAGGTAACTTATATATAAAGGTGCTCTACTGTCCGATATAAACTATTTATATAGATGCCTTGCTCCCTGATATGAACTCTATAAAAATGCCCTTCCCCCTGATGTGAACACTTTATAAAGATTCTCTGCTATCTGATGTGAACTCTTTATAAAAATGCCCTGCTACCTGATGTGAAATCTCTATAAAGATGCTCTGCTTCCTGATGTGAACTTTTTATGAAGATGTTCAGCTCCCTGCTAAGAACTCTTTCTAAAGACGCCCTGCTCAATGATAGGAACTCTTTCTAAAGATGCCCTGCTCCATGATTTGAACTCTTTCTAAAGATGCCCTACTCTATGACAGGAACTCTTTCTAAAGATGCTCTGCTCTTTGATGTGAGCTCTTGATAAAAGTTGCCGTGCCCCATAATGTGAACTCTCTATAATGATGCTCTGCTGCATGTTGAGAATTCTTTTTCATAATACCCTGCTGCCTTATTTGAACCTTTTTTGAAGATGTTTTGCACGCTGATGTGAATTCTTTATAAAGATGCTCTGCTGCCTGATGTGAACACTTTATAAAGATGCTCTGCTGCCTGATGTGAACACTTTATAAAGATGCTCTGCTGCCTGATGTGAACACTTTATAAAGATGCTCTGCTATCTGATGTGAACACTTTATAAAGATGCTCTGCTGCCTGATGTGAACACTTTATAAAGATGCTCTGCTGTGAACACTTTATAAAGATGCTCTGCTGCCTGATGTGAACACTTTATAAAGATGCTCTGCTGCCTGATGTGAACACTTTATAAAGATGCTCTGCTGTCTGATGTGAACACTTTATAAAGATGCTCTGCTGCCTGATGTGAACACTTTATAAAGATGCTCTGCTCCCAGATATGAATTCTTTTTAGAGTTGCCCTGCTTCTTTAGGTGAATTTCTTATGAAGGTACTCTGCTCCCTAATGTAAACTCTTTAAAACACTTGGTCACCTCTGTATGGTTAAAAGGTGATCAAATTTCTTTCTCTGTTTCAAATGTGATAACACTTCCTGTGATAAACTCATCCTTTACCTTGTTACTTTTATCCAGTTTCAATATTTGTCCTGGGTCTATTAACAGATAGTCCTCCTCCCCCAAAAAACTGTTAGATAAGGACACACTCTGTTACATGGTTAAGTAGAAAATGTCATTCTGATTCAATATCAATATCATTTTCAAACTTTAAAGTGTCCGATTTCATAGAGACATTATTGACTTCCAAAAGATGGGTTATCTTAGTTCCATAAGAATGTCACAGGGGATAGTATAATCCTACAAAACTGTCACCGATTCAAATATGGATTACCATAGTCCCACAAGAATGTCACCGATTCAAATATGGGTTACCATAGTCCCACAAGAATGTCACCGATTCAAATATGGGTTACCATAATCCAACAAGAATGTCACAGATTCAAATATGGATTACCGTAGTCCCACAAGAATGTCACCGATTCAAATATGGGTTACCATAGTCCCACAAGAATCTCACCTATTCAAATATGGGTTACCATAGTCCCACAAGAATGTCGCCGATTCAAATATGGGTTACCATAATCCCACAAAAATGTGCCAGATTCAAATATGATATGTACCTTTGTATCTCAATTTGTATCCTAAAAATTACTAATTTAAGTACATGTGTCCATGTGATATTAAAAGAAACCAAATTAGCAGATGAGACAAAGAAATCTTGTCACTACTTAGGATACAATGTGAATCACCAGTTACAGGGATGAAAAAGAAAGATAAACCGATAAACTGGATAGAATATGTGGAACCACATTAATAAGCCTGGAAATTTTATTTGAAAGTGCATTTGAATTCTTACTGTTCAAAAAGTTTACATGGAGATTGGCACCGCCTCCTTTGATTACTCTGAAATCACATTGTATTTTGTTCTCCTGATTTCTCTGAAAGTTACACCTCATGACAATTCATGTACAACAAGTATCTAGAATGACACATATTCATGATATTTATGTAACCAGTTTAATTTTCACTGATATTAGTTGTTAATATATTGTTAACACTGATTTGGCATTTCATTAACAATGAAGATAGATGTTTGGTTTTTGTTTCATTCACACTAAATAAATATTTTGTTTACACTGATTTTATTTTACACATGATTTCATTACAATGTATTTATTTTTTCATTCTCACTTGCTTTGTTTCAACACCAACACCATCTTGTATATTTTCAGGTTTTTCACTGTCACTTCAATAGCAATTTTTTTCCGTTGTTTCTGGAAAATTTATTAGGAAATTCTGTGAGCTCAAGTTTTGGATCATTCTTAATTGGTAAGTTATTACTTAAAAAAAGGAAAGAATGTGACCACAGTCTGATTTCTTATACTGTAGAGAAATATTCTGAATTTCTGATTAGGCATCTGGTCTATTGTATGTGTCAATATTTGAGTTTTTGCCAAAGTACATTGATGCTCTTCCAGGGTAAATGAACTTTCATGCTTTCAGCAATCCTTGTAAGCATAAAGACATTATCACTCGCAATAATCATAGCTTGATTAAGTTGTTTTAGACTGAATTTTTGAACATGATCAAGATCATTACAAAGGGATTGTTATATGGCAGGATATTTATCCCATGTTCCCTGTCCAAATCTCTGGCAGGGTATATGGTCCAATGTTCCCTGTCAGAATCTTTGTCAGGGTATATGGTCCAAAGTTGCCTGTCAAAATCTCTGGCAGGGTATATGGTCCTAGAATCTTTGTCAGATATATGGTCCAATGTTCCCTGTCAGAATCTCTGGCAGGATATATGGTCCTAAGTTCCCTGTCAGAATCTCTGTCAGGATATATGGTCCTAAGTTCCCTGTCAGAATCTCTGTCAGGGTATATGGTCCAAAGTTCCCTGTCAGAATCTTTGTCAGATATATGGTCCAAAGATCCCTGTCAGAATCTCTGGCAGGGTATATGGTCCTAAGTTGCCTGTCAGAATCTTTGTCAGATATATGGTCCAAAGTTCCCTGTCAGAATCTCTGTCAGGATATATGGTCCTAAGTTCCCTGTCAGAATCTCTGGCAGGATATATGGTCCTAAGTTCCCTGTCAGAATCTCTGGCAGGGTATATGGTCCTAAGTTCCCTGTCAGAATCTTTGTCAGATATATGGTCCAAAGTTCCCTGTCAGAATCTCTGTCAGGATATATGGTCCTAAGTTCCCTGTCAGAATCTCTGGCAGGATATATGGTCCTTTACTTTCTGTGTCTGTATTTCAGTCTTGTTATATTGAGATATGTTCCCTGTCAGAATCTCTGGCAGGGTATATGGTCCTAAGTTCCCTGTCAGAATCTTTGTCAGATATATGGTCCAAAGTTCCCTGTCAGAATCTTTGTCAGATATATGGTCCAATGTTCCCTGTCAGAATCTTTGTCAGATAAATGGTCCAATGTTCCCTGTCAGAATCTCTGTGTTCCCTGTCAGAATCTCTGTCAGGATATATGGTCCTAAGTTCCCTGTCAGAATCTCTGGCAGGATATATGGTCCTAAGTTCCCTGTCAGAATCTCTGTCAGGATATATGGTCCTAAGTTCCCTGTCAGAATCTCTGGCAGGGTATATGGTCCAAAGTTCCCTGTCAGAATCTTTGTCAGATATATGGTCCAAAGTTCCCTGTCAGAATCTTTGTCATATATATGGTCCAATGTTCCCTGTCAGAATCTTTGTCATATATATGGTCCAATGTTCCCTGTCAGAATCTCTGTCAGGGTATATGGTCCAATGTTCCCTGTCAGAATCTTTGTCAGATATATGGTCCAATGTTCCCTGTCAGAATCTCTGTCAGGATATATGGTCCTAAGTTCCCTGTCAGAATCTTTGTCAGATATATGGTCCTAAGTTCCCTGTCAGAATCTTTGTCATATATATGGTCCAATGTTCCCTGTCAGAATCTTTGTCAGATATATGGTCCAAAGTTCTCTGTCAGGGTATATGGTCCAAAGTTCCCTGTCAGAATCTTTGTCAGATATATGGTCCAAAGTTGCCTGTCAGAATCTCTGTCAGGGTATATGGTCCAATGTTCCCTGTCAGAATCTTTGTCAGATATATGGTCCTAAGTTCCCTGTCAGAATCTTTGTCAGATATATGGTCCAAAGTTCCCTGTCAGAATCTTTGTCAGATAAATGGTCCAATGTTCCCTGTCAGAATCTCTGGCAGGGTATATAGTCCAAAGATCCCTGTCAGAATATCTGGCAGGGTATATAGTCCAAAGATCCCTGTCAGAATATCTGGCAGGGTATAAGGTTCCATTTTACCTTTTAAGATCTAATCACACATAAGAACCTGGATCCTGTCAGTATGCATATGATGCTGAAGGGAACATTGGTCCATAAACCAAGTCATAATTGGGTCCTGTACTGTCCATGTATCATTCCAAAGACTAAGATGATGGTGGGGATCATGACATCCTGCTACTCTTCTCTGTATGACTACAGATTCTGATAAATCCTATAACAAATGTTCCACTATGCTATTGTTTCCTACACAGACAGTTATAGCTGATAGACCATGAATGTTAATGATTGATAGACAACTGGTAAACACCATCCTTCTGATGATCACTTAGAAGTAGAGAGATCCAAATTCTTTAATGAAGGGGTTTTTTCTGTGGGTTATAAACGTCTTTCCTAAGATAAATGAAAAGAATGTAAGTAGGATATATATATATATATATATATGGTATCCACATTTTCTATTTTACAGGTATATCTTTCCTGGCACCCCATGTAAATAATCTGTTCTTCCTAGAGCTGTGTAAGCGGTATGGTGTGTACAAAGTCATACAAATCTTGTTCTCCATCAAACTTTCTCTTAGCCTCTTCATGTTCTTCATGGGACCCAAGAATTTGTGGCTGCTCTGTCTCTTCATAGCCAGGTAAATTGATGTCTTTTCTTTGCCAGGTAAATTGATGTCTCTTCATAACCAGGTAAATCAATGTTTTTTCCATATTGAGGTTAACCAATACTCAGACACTTGATGTAGAAAATTCAGAGAGTGAAGTTCCATGACAGAAGTTATCCTGATTGTCCGTTTTCAGTGTCATTGAGAAAATAATGTGCCAGGAATGTCACTGAAGGTTTGATTCTTCCATATTACTCTAATGTAATGCTTTGTTCTGATTGACTTTGTTTTAATTTTTATAACTATTCTCATTGCTTTCCTTCCCCAGCAACCGTGTATTTACTGAGGGAACCTGTAAACTATTAAACTTGGTGATCAGTGACCTTGTGGATGAAGACTATGTTCTTCATAACCGAAAAAAGGCAGTCTCTGCCCTGATTTTTGGGAGTACTGCACTGCTGTCTAAACCAGGCCAGACACTAGCACCACTGGTTGGAATGTGGCTACTATCAATGCAGACAGGTGAGCGGATTTAACATAAGTATTCTTGCCTACTTTTCCTATTCAGGAGCAAGACTTTATTTCGGGCCTGAATATCATAAAGGAATTATCTGTAAATCTCTTCTTTTTCATGATGTTAAAAAGTTCTCTAGAAACAGCAGCTTAGATGTTTTCAGGTGTTAGTGTTTCAAGAAAATATATGAATGTATTCATTTTAGACCTGAAGATTCAAAAGTGCAATTTCCTCCATGGAAGTGTTGAAAATTGTTGGCAAGTATGTAAAATGTTTTTGATAGATATTACAAATGCATATTACCAGTTAGAGAGTGGAGGCTAGGGATTTGCTCTACTTAGTGATGGTGTGTAATATGTGATGATTTTAACTTCATTTACTGGAATAAATGGATTGATTGGTGGGATATCTTAAAAATAATAAGTGGTATCTAGATATGTGTGTTTTGAAATGAAATACTACAAAATATGTGATTATTAATAAGTATACAATATATATGAGGTGGAATTGTTTAAATCTTGCTTCTTGCAATAATCAATTGCAATTTGATTATGTGTTGAATTATCTATGATGTTTAAAAAATACAGACTTTATGTGATAAGTATACATCTTAGTTATAAATAAACCGTGTATTTATACCAAACAGATGATGGAAATGATGTGTGCCTTTTCCAGGTCATGACATTTTCCAGACAAGTAACAAGATTCTGCAGCTTGGCAACAGTCACGATGAACAAAGTAGTCTGGAACAGTACCGACAAGGCTGCTTCAATCTTCTTGTTTACATTCCTATTCTGTGTGCTGCCATTCAGCTTGCAGTCTGGTCACAGTTCAGACTTCACGGTCACCGACTCCGATGGGTGAAGTCCTGTCGTACTGGAACAGACCACTCTTTAATATAAGACATCTGAACTGTCAGGGTTTTAATCTTTATTTCCTGTTCATACAAATAAGTCAATGAACAGGAAATAACTGATTGTGAAACTGTTGTCATCTCTTTTAAATCAAAACCAATATATTGTGTCTTAGTCCACACACTGCTGCTGTGTATATTACTGCTTAAGAATGTCATATACTGTTTTTGTTTTTTTGAGAGAGCAAGAGAGTGTTGATATTATCCTTTAAATTTAAAACAGTTTTACAACAGGATGCACCCAGCTTTCTTTTAAATTGATATTTTGTATGATCTAATAGAGTAATAACTTGTGTGTAATTTATGTCCTACATAAACACTAATCAAAGATGTATCTTTTGTATACTCTAATGTATAGGAAACATGTTATATGTCATGTTTTTAATGGTCATTGACAATTTATTACTTTTTGATGTGCCATATAAATAAATGAGTTTATGTCACAAATATACAAAAGTTGAAATCCATTCTCATGGTAGCTCTTGTCTAGATCATCATGAAACATTCACTTATTTGTTTGTGATTCCAGTAGGTATTTTGAGTGAAGAGATAATCAACTTTGTCGTGAAAATCAAAATTCAAACATAGATATAGGAGATGTCATTGAAGAATGATATAGTACTACCATCAAGAGTGTATTTCAGCATCTAAATTCTACTTTTCTCATTTTGTTATATACCATACTTATCCTACACTACGTAGAAATTCAGCCTTTATGCTAGTTGATGGGCAGGTTGGAGGACAATGAATTATATTTGTTGGTGATTCTGCTCAACAGCAGTAGATATGGATGGGCTATTGCCTGGCATGGACTGATTGAGGAAATACACACAGGACTGGTGGTGTTATCATTATGTGTATTCATGTTAAATGTCTTTTTTATATGCTTTGTTGATTGTTCAGATATTCTTTTGATTTATTTTTACTAAACATTGATTTCTCCAAAGCAAGTATTGTAAGTAAGTTTTGTAAATTAACTACTGTGATAATAATGGTTTACTGGACCAAACTGTGATCAAGTAATGTTCAACAAATACCTAGCACAGCATTATGCTACAATATACTTTTGTCATAATAGGTTATCATTGCATTACTGTGATGGTAGACAGTAATTATCTGCCAAAAGGTATTATACTTGTAAGTGTAAAATCATAATTGGTCACATTTTTTATCTATCTTACCTGTAGAATGAAAATAATTTGCTCATATTTTGAAGTGACAGGGTATTTATATTTTATCATTATTCCTGATCATGGAATACCTTTACATAGCAATAATTACTTGTTAAGAATCAACTGTTTTACATAAATATCATATAGAGGTGCTGGTTTTGATTCAGTGATAATAAAGTGATTCAATTTAACGAAGGTGCTGTCATTTAGCCATTGAAATTAGGGCAACATATCAACAGATTTTGTTGAGGATCTTTGACACATGTGCTGTAAAATTTATTGTTTGAATGGATGGGAATGTAAAATTTGAAGCATAATGGTAAAATCAGCTACTAGCAAAAAAATTAGATAGCTTGAGAAAACACCAGCTTACAGATATTTTGACTTATGCCCTGTGCACTCCCATTTAACATTCTGTTTGGTGACATAAAGTTATTAACACAAACTTTATTTAGGATTTCACCAGTATGAAGCCTACAGAATTTGTTCCACTTAGTGAATAATCATTTTAAATACATCTTTTTAATTTCAATGCAGAATATTGAATTCGAGAATACATCATATTGGTCCTGTAGTTATACTATCGATGTTCTAGTCCCCCACTTCAGGAAAATGCTTCTAAATTGTAAATGCATTTATTGGGAGAATGTCACATATAAGGTATGTATTTATTGTTGTATAGCAGTTAATGTTGATCTTTCAACTGGGTCCTCTTCACCTACCTGGTCTGGTATATATGAGCGCAATTCCAGGGTCTACAGCAAAAGGTTTATTATCAGAATGAAAGCTTTAAATTTGACACTTACCCAAGGAAAATATTGGTTTATATCTGTGTTGTATATACTGTCATATCCATTTCATATCATTCAATTATATATTTTTATAATGGATAGGAAAGCTTTCTATAAAAATTTACAATAGGAGGGAATTTTCTTCATTCTTGCCATTTTATAGATTTTTTAAATGAGATCATTTGGTATATGTTTTCACTGAGTACAGAAAGACCTTTCAACTTTTAGTCATTTCATCAGATGTTGGGAAGACAAATACCACATTTCTTCAAAAACTAATTTTTATTTCTTTTGTTTTATCATTACTTAAAAGTAAAAAATTTTACGTGGTTGAATGCTGATTGTTCTATGCTACATAAACAAAATTATTAACCTGCATAATTAATTACCATTAAACAACATTTACATTGGTTTTGTAATAAATTTTGTGATAAAAGGAAAAATCACACGCTTATTGTTTCCTGGTTAAAAAAAAAAGTCTTAATATAAAGCCCAGGGAAATGGAACAACTAAACAGTATTCATAGGAAACTTTTTAATCAATTTCACAATAACACTATGGAGATTGTTGATGTCATTACATGGTAAAAAGGCTATCCCCATTAAGAGTGAATGTCAGGTATTTCAATATGTATCTAATTGATGAAATAGGAATATTTCTGGTGCTAACAAACTTCATTATTATCATGAATAGGATTGAGTCCAACACAGAAGGGCCTTTTTTATCCGAATTTCATGCCAGTGTTGTTTTTATATTTCGACTCAACAGAGATCTGTCATCAGTACAATCGTTATTGTTGTGATGAGACATCACTATTGTTTTGTCAGGTATTAACAGTCTCTGCGATCTTTATTTTCACATCTCGTCTACATAGCAATCAGATCCTGTGATATCGAGCAGTGATCCAAGGATAAGATAGATCATTTTCGCGTAGTGATTTCTTTTCTATTTAAGGACCAAAACACAGTTCATTTTGCTATATATTGATATTTCTTTATGTACCACCAGCAGTTGAAACATTGTCACTGTCATCATATTTTTCTGCATTGAATTGGTAACAAGGGCCTTTTTTTATATTATTGTGTTATATTTTCAGCTCCCCACAGAATTTTCTATAAGGCGTGTTGACATGACAATATTCTTTGGTTTAAGTTTATAATTTCATTCCATGTTCATTCTTGAAACAATTTTGAAATGTCAGTTTAATTTCTCTTCATCTAAAGCCACACAAAGACTCAGATATGAAAGTATTTACAAACTTTATTCAATATCCTACATAGTTCACCAGTTGACCTTTGTAGGACATTGAAAGTGCATTAGTTTTCAGTCATAGGTAGAAACACTCACCAGTATATATGTGATGCTGAAATTCATCTACACATCTTAGTAATAGATAATTTTTTGACATCAAATACTGATTTAAATCATAATGATGAAAGAATGGATCTTATTAGCATTTTTATACAAATTTCATAGAGATGAGAAAGGAAGTTCTGTGGATTAAAACTGAATAACAGTTGAAATTATGAAATCATCGTCAAATATTGCAACCAAAACAGGTGCAATTTTTAAAGTGAAAAGGTGTTAACAATATACAAAATTTTTTAGCAGTGAGTCAAGTATTTGTATGATTACAGATTCAGATATAATTCAGTTTAAGGTGAACAAAATAAGAGGCATGTGCCATACATTTTCATATATTTGTGCCAAGGAAATAATTGAAATAAAGATCATTACAGTAAGATTGTTAAGTATTTTCGGTAAAATATTTTCTAAGGTTTGCATATATTTATAGATTTTCATATATCACAACTGGTAAGAAAATTTGTGACATTTCAGCTGCTACTTGCCACTTTTATGTGACCAGTGGAGTTATATAAACTGAAGTGTAAAGTGGATGGAATGGTTATCATATCAATGTGGCTTTTCGGCTATGCTATTATCTACAAAATGATAAAATCATTATGCATTCAGTATGAGTAGGTAATGATCCACCAAAGTCAATTCTTGGATTTAGACACTAAAAAGTCACAAAACATTTGTCTAACTAGTTCTGATATACAAAATGTATTCATAAACATGAATGTGTATCAAACCAAACGAAAATCACTTTGAGGAATGTTCCTTATTAGTCTAGGACAGTTTTTACCACGGACAGTTCCTCAACACAACGCATAATGCATTGTTATCTTTGTTATGTCACAGTGTGAAAAACCAGGCTCAATATTTTTTATAGAGTACATAAACAATGTAGATACTCTCTGTGATGGTGCTGGGAAATTTTGACAATATGTGTTCTTAAACCTGTTTTTTAAGTGTCCATTTTATTGTTTTATAACCACCTTGGTTTTTGTGTTCAGCATCTAATGAATTAAGATAAGATCAAACTTGATAAATTTGATGTCAGTGATTTTTTTAAAAGATTTTATTATAGCTTCTCACATTTAAACTTGTCAATAGAATTTTAAACGTGCTTTATTTTTCCAAATATTTTTGGTTTGAGAAAACAAATATTGTTATTCCGAGAGTGACAATTGTAAAGATTTCTTCTCAATAATTAGAAAAAGATTGAAGCTGGTTGGAGTCCGTGATATACAGTGGACATCAGAAACCAATTTCACAATATTTATAAATTTGTTTGATACTGGATTAATTTATAACCATAATAGAGTTGTTGATATATGTACAGCTTATCATGATTTTGAAATTTTATCAAAACACAGTTGATTCATTTTATTGTATCCACTTTCAAAGCACTGCATAACCAAATATATATTTATATTAAACATGTCACAAACATACTGATTGTTTGTTTGTTTGTTTGTCTGTGACTTCCACAATCGGTGACAGGTCAACAAAAGCCAATGTTAACATTACAATGGTCAACTAAAACCTAGGCTCTAGGTAACAGGAGTCAAGAATAACCCACTTTCTATGTAACTATTATCAGTTATAACCCACCTTAAAGTTACAGGTATCAACATCAACCCAAGTTCGACATGACGGGTAAACATTATCCTACATTATAGGTAACATGTCAACAATTACCCCAATTTATTTTAAATGGGGTTGACTTTATTTGAAATTGGGTAAACAATAACCCAAAATTTACATAATTTCAGTAATAACTCATGTTCTGGATAACTAGGGTTAACAACAACCCATGTTCTAGATGTCTAGGATCTACAACAACCCATGTTATATGTAACAGGGGTCAATAATAACCCACATTATAGGTAACAGGTAAATAATAACCCACATAAAAGGCAACAGGAGTCAACATTAACCCATCTTATGGGTAATTCATGCCATCCATAGCCTGTTTAATAGATAACAGAGGTCAACAATAACCCACATTTAGGTACCTGGGTTAACAAACCCTACTTTTTTAAGTAACAGGTCAGCAAAAACCTATGTAATAGGTAACAGGGGTCAACAATAACCAGTGTTATAGATAACAGAGGTCAACAATAACCAGAGTTAAAGGTAACAGGGGTCAACAATAACCAGAGTTAAATGTAGCAGGGGTCAAGAATAACCAGTGTTAAAGGTAGCAAGGGTCAACAATAACCAGTGCTAAAGGTAACAGGGGTCAACAAAAACCAGTGCTAAAGGTAACAGGGGTCAACAATAAGCTATGTAATAGGTAACAGGGGTCAACAATATTCAGTGTTAAAGGTAACAGAGGTCAACGATATTCAGTGTTAAAGGTAGCAAGGGTCAACAATAACCAGTGTTATAGTTAACAAGATTCAACAATATTCAGTGTTAAAGGTAGCAAGGGTCAACAATAATCAGTGTGAAAGGTAACAAGGGTCAACAATATTCAGTGTTAAAGGTAAAATGGGTCAACAATAACCAGTGTTAAAGGTAACAGGGGTCAACAATAACCAGTGTTAAAAGTAACAGGGGTCAACAATAACCAGTGTTAAAGGTAACAAGGGTCAACAATATTCAGTGTTAAAGGTAGCAAGGGTCAACAATAACCAGTGCTAAAGGTAACAGGGGTCAACAATAACCAGTGCTAAAGGTAACAGGGGTCAACAATAAGCTATGTAATAGGTAACAGGGGTCAACAATAACCAGTGTTAAAGGTAACAGGAGTCAACAATAATCAGTGTTAAAGGTAACAGGGGTCAACAATAACCAGTGTTAAAGGTAACAAAGGTCAACAATAACCAGTGTTAAAGGTAACAGGGGTCAACAATAACCAGTGTTAAAGGTAGCAAGGGTCAACAATATTCAGTGTTAAAGGTAACAAGGGTCAACAATAACCAATGTTTTAGGTAACAGGGGTCAACAATAAGCTATGTAATAGGTAACAAGGGTCAACAATATTCAGTGTTAAAGGTAGCAAGGGTCAACAATAACCAGTGTTAAAGGTAACAGGAGTCAAAAATAAGCTATGTAATAGGTAACAAGGGTCAACAATAACCAGTGTTAAAGGTAACAGGGGTCAACAATAACCAGTGTTAAAGGTAACAGGGGTCAAGAATAACCAGTGTTAAAGGTAGCAAGGGTAAACAATAATCAGTGTTAAAGGTAACGGGGGTCAACAATATTCAGTGTTAAAGGTAACAAGGGTCAACAATAACCAGTGTTTTAGGTAACAGGGGTCAACAATAAGCTATATAATAGGTAACATGGGTCAACAATAACCAGTGTTAAAGGTAACAGAGGTCAACAATAACCAGTGTTAAAGGTAACAGGGGTCAAGAATAACCAGTGTTAAAGGTAGCAAGGGTCAACAATAATCAATGTTAAAGGTAACAGGGGTCAACAATATTCAGTGTTAAAGGTAACAAGGGTCAACAATAACCAGTGTTTTAGGTAACAGGGGTCAACAATAAGCTATATAATAGGTAGCATGGGTCAACAATAACCAGTGTTAAAGGCAACAAGGGTCAACAATATTCAGTGTTAAAGGTAGCAAGGGTCAACAATAACCAGTGCTAAAGGTAACAGGGGTCAACAATAACCAGTGTTAAAGGTAACAGGGGTCAACAATAAGCTATATAATAGGTAACAGGGGTCAACAATAACCAGTGTTAAAGGTAACAGGAGTCAACAATAAGCTATGTAATAGGTAACAGGGGTCAACAATAAGCTATGTAATAGGTAACAGGGGTCAACAATAACCAGTGTTAAAGGTAACAAGGGTCAACAATAACCAGTGTTAAAGGTAACAGGGGTCAACAATAACCAGTGTTAAAGGTAACAGAGGACAACAATAACCAGTGTTAAAGGTAACAGAGGACAACAATAACCAGTGTTAAAGGTAGCAGAGGTCAACAATAACCAGTTCCAGGGAACGACAATCTCACACAACAGTCACAACTTGAACATCGAGTACAAAGCATAGAACATATTCCAGGGATCGACAATATACTTAAAGGTATGATTTGGAACAAATACAACGTCATCCCGAAGACAGTGCCATGATTTAACTGAAATGTAAGATAGTTGGCCTTCAGGAAGCTGTTGACATACATGTTTTTGAGTTTCCTCTTGTACTATTTCTTACACGTTCTTAGCTCCAAAGCATCATGGTTCCCTCATAAAATCTATAAGCAAATTAGCAAAATTTAACACATGGAAGACAGAGGTTTACTCGGCAAATATATGTTATACAAACACATAAACTACCGAGATCTGCAGTCCTCCCTTGATATCAATTGAACTGAAAAAAGAGAGAGAGATTTGACTGTGAAATTGCGCCGCCATCTCTGTTCTCATGGTTCTTGTTATGGTTGTGGTGTGAGATTATCGTTCTCTAGAACATGTTTTATGCTTTGTACTCGATGTTCAAGTTGTGAGTGTTGTGTGAGATTGTCGTTCCTGGAACATGTTCTATGCTTTGTACTCGATGTTCAAGTTGTGAGTGTTGTGTGAGATTATCGTTCTCTAAAACATGTTCTATGCTTTGTACTCGATGTTCAAGTTGTGAGTGTTGTGTGAGATTATCGTTCTCTAAAACATGTTCTATGCTTTGTACTCGATGTTCAAGTTGTGAGTGTTGTGTGAGATTATCGTTCTCTAAAACATGTTCTATGCTTTGTACTCGATGTTCAAGTTGTGAGTGTTGTGTGAGATTATCGTTCTCTAAAACATGTTCTATGCTTTGTACTCGATGTTCAAGTTGTGAGTGTTGTGTGAGATTATCGTTCTCTAAAACATGTTCTATGCTTTGTTCTTGTTCAAGTTGTGAGTGTTGTGTGAGATTGTCGTTCTCTAAAACATGTTCTATGCTTTGTTCTTGTTCAAGTTGTGAGTGTTGTGTGAGATTGTCGTTCCTGGAACATGTTCTATGCTTTGTTCTTGTTCAAGTTGTGAGTGTTGTGTGAGATGTCGTTCTCTGTGTTCTATGCTTTGTTCGATGTTCAAGTTGTGAGTGTTGTGTGAGATTGTCGTTCTCTAAAACATGTTCTATGCTTTGTACTCGATGTTCAAGTTGTGAGTGTTGTGTGAGATTATCGTTCTCTAAAACATGTTCTATGCTTTGTTCTTGTTCAAGTTGTGAGTGTTGTGTGAGATTATCGTTCTCTAAAACATGTTCTATGCTTTGTTCTTGTTCAAGTTGTGAGTGTTGTGTGAGATTGTCGTTCCTGGAACATGTTCTATGCTTTGTTCTTGTTCAAGTTGTGAGTGTTGTGTGAGATTGTCGTTCCTGGAACATGTTCTATGCTTTGTACTCGATGTTCAAGTTGTGAGTGTTGTGTGAGATTGTCGTTCTCTAAAACATGTTCTATGCTTTGTACTCGATGTTCAAGTTGTGAGTGTTGTGTGAGATTATCGTTCTATAGAACATGTTTTATGCTTTGTACTCGATGTTCAAGTTGTGAGTGTTGTGTGAGATTATCGTTCTCTAAAACATGTTCTATGCTTTGTTCTTGTTCAAGTTGTGAGTGTTGTGTGAGATTGTCGTTCCTGGAACATGTTCTATGCTTTGTTCTTGTTCAAGTTGTGAGTGTTGTGTGAGATTGTCGTTCCTGGAACATGTTCTATGCTTTGTACTCGATGTTCAAGTTGTGAGTGTTGTGTGAGATTGTCGTTCTCTAAAACATGTTCTATGCTTTGTACTCGATGTTCAAGTTGTGAGTGTTGTGTGAGATTGTCGTTCTCTAAAACATGTTCTATGCTTTGTACTCGATGTTCAAGTTGTGAGTGTTGTGTGAGATTGTCGTTCTCTAAAACATGTTCTATGCTTTGTTCTTGTTCAAGTTGTGAGTGTTGTGTGAGATTGTCGTTCCTGGAACATGTTCTATGCTTTGTTCTTGTTCAAGTTGTGAGTGTTGTGTGAGATTGTCGTTCCTGGAACATGTTCTATGCTTTGTACTCGATGTTCAAGTTGTGAGTGTTGTGTGAGATTGTCGTTCTCTAAAACATGTTCTATGCTTTGTACTCGATGTTCAAGTTGTGAGTGTTGTGTGAGATTGTCGTTCTCTAAAACATGTTCTATGCTTTGTACTCGATGTTCAAGTTGTGAGTGTTGTGTGAGATTGTCGTTCTCTAAAACATGTTCTATGCTTTGTTCTTGTTCAAGTTGTGAGTGTTGTGTGAGATTGTCGGTCCTGTAACATGTTCTATGCTTTGTTCTTGTTCAAGTTGTGAGTGTTGTGTGAGATTGTCGTTCCTGGAACATGTTCTATGCTTTGTTCTTGTTCAAGTTGTGAGTGTTGTGTGAGATTGTCGTTCCTGGAACATGTTCTATGCTTTGTACTCGATGTTCAAGTTGTGAGTGTTGTGTGAGATTATCGTTCTCTAAAACATGTTCTATGCTTTGTTCTTGTTCAAGTTGTGA